AAAAAAAAAAGAAAATACTTTTCATCGCATTCTAATAAACTTCCGACTGTATTAACATTAATACACTAGCTATAAACATTTTCTGTTGAAATTTATACATATAATAAAAAAATTTCGCTAAAGTTTCATAAAAATATCACTAGATAAGATAGCGTAAGGTAATTGTTAATGGTTATCTTAGCGTGAGATCCAGGAATGGAAAAATCAGAGGAACAAAAACTGAGATGAGAGAAGAAGAAGAAAGGAAAAAAAAGAAGAAAATTCTACATGCAAGCAGTGGCGAAAAATATAATGAAAAGAAAAATGAAATTTATTGTGTAGTGAATTTTTAATTAGGAAAAATAAAAAATATATATTTATATATAGCAAATCTTATTTTACATAAATAATAATAACACGAAGTTGAGTAAGAGTTGATTAATGACAAACTTAGACACCTGAATTTACACATTTCTTTTTAATTTTCTTGTTTTTTTTTAAATGTATATAATTATGTTTAACACAGGAAAAATAAACGTTTCGTTATTTTGAATTTTAAATAAAAATTAAAATAATCTTTTATAAAATTTAAATTTAGTTTAAATAGTAAATTTAAGTCACCGAAAAAATAATTTAATAAAACTCTTTACAATTTAAAATAATGATATTTAAGATATTTTTGCAGTGATTTTAATTAATGTATGTAAAATATTAATGGAAGCAAAGGAATTTTCAAGAAACAAAAATATAAATAAATTAAAGAAAGCCTAAAGAGTGTTTGAATATAAATAAATTGGGCAGAATCCTTCATAAATATTCAAGTTTACCTGTAAGATATTAGCAAATGAATATTAGCAAAAGTAATTTTTAAAATAGGTATTTTATTACAGTTTTCAATGATCAAAACATTTAACTGAAAAATGCGAATATAAAATAAATCTTATCCTGTTATAATCATATTTCAGTCAGAGAAAGAAAGGATCCAACACTAATTATAGACCACCCATTATTTTTAATTATCATTAAGCATCTCTTGGCATTTGGAATGCCAAGTTAAACCATTAACCTTAATTTAACAAAGCTATTGAAGTAATGATGGCTTTTTCAATCTACGTTTGTTTCTATTTGTTTTCAACTTCACCGTTCATAAACTTTACGCGTTAAAATGATATCGATTATTTCGTGTGTTTCTGTTTTATTGTTACATAAATAATATACTTTACACAGGAAAAAAACACTGTATATATGTTTTTTCCTGTATAATTCCACTGTCTAAGGATCTTCAAATCTATTTTTGTGTGAGAATTCGTTGAGTTGTGATAGATTATGCGTAGTAATTCGTCTTGTTTTTTTGGTTTGTAAATACATCTATATTAAGATATTTAATATAAATGTTTATTTAGTACTATTTGAGATAGTATTTGCCAGTTATATGTGCAGATTTTCATGTTTTTCAGCTTAATAAATAGTAGAAAGGTGATAATAAACGTTGGCCAATCTACTTTGTTTTTTCAGTTGATAGATAATTACAGGCAATGATAAGCTTCACTTTTTATTATTCCAGTAGAATTTATTGTAATTTTTTACGAAAATTTGAATGCAGACTTTCGTTTTATATGCCTAAAATAAACTATGATCTTCTTTATGGCTGTCAAAAGTTTTGTTTGTCGATATTTTCTTTCTTCTGACTGCTTGCTGAATTTTGTTACGGTTAGTTTCTTAGCATAAAGTGAGAATATATCCCGTTTACATATTTGCTTTGAAGCCAAATATGTGTAGAAATAGATTTTTGAAAAATTCAGCATTCATGAACAGGGGGATATTATTGCATGGTTGGAATAATGCAGCCTATGGTACATATTCATGGCATTGAGTGAAGCAAGCGGTTAGAATTTAATTTTGGCAAAGTCCATTCTCTTCTCTGTTACTTGTTCCTGATATTTTTTAAGAATAAAAAGAGATTTTTAAAAATCGAAAGTACATCACATATAGGCCTACGTTACACAAGATATTTTATAAGTCTAGAAATTCAGCACCATTTGACCTTATATTGTGTATAAACATTTAAAATAATTGTTTATTTGATTTCATTACATTAAAACAGGGCTTCTTAAACTTTTTTCAATTGCAACCATCTTATATCTGAGAAAAATTTTACGCGACATCTGGTTTGTAGGTATATAAAATAGATATTCACTGAAGTCTCGGTAATCCGGTCGTTCGATAGTTGGACAAGTCCAGTAATCCGACACTCTGGTATTACCGGCTTGTTGCCAAGTCGTAGACAAGCTTTCCACTAGTTTAAACTCCAGTTTCTACTAAATTTCAACATTTTTCTATTAAGTGTCGAACTTGAAATTAAAGATTGTTTGCCTCGACATCTTAGGCTACCAAAATCATTGTTCTCGCATATTTTCTTGCTATTCTATATATATATATATATATATATATAATTAATACAATTTACTAATAACGTGAAAATAAACAAATATACTTATTTTCTATCCGAATAATTAAACCATTAAATTTACCCGATTTCCAATAATCGTTAATCTCCTTAATTCCACATTGTTCCGATCCTATATGTGTCAGATTATCGAGATTGGACTGTACAAATAAAACCACTAACTGATAATAAATCAAAAAACAATTTATCGGTACTTCAGGCCCTAAGCTTTCCATATCTATTCTCGATTTTAGTAGTGTCTTTCCCCTGTAAATCATACTTCTTCTGAAAACAATCGAGTCATGCCAGTCATCTAATCCTTCTCCAGGAAATTTTGAATTGAAATAACATAACATTCGGTCAAGACCAGACGTTTGTATAGAATTAATTGGTGCTTTCGACCCCTAAACGTTTCATATCTGGTCTCGATTTTCATCTATCTAAAGCCGTTCTCGAGATTAACGAAGGACAGAAAGACAGATAAACAGGCAACAATGGGGACGTATAGGTCTAAAATTTAAAAATTGCAGCCAAATAATGCAATTTATGTAATCAATATTACGTTCTCTGTAAAGGGATATTAAATGATAAAAGATATGCTAAGGAACTGAAAGAGCAATATTGTATGTACAATACAGTACCTCTCATTGCAAACAATGAAAATGTATTAGATGAAGATCATTCTTACAGTAAATATAACATTAGAAATAAATGATATAGCAAAACTTTCGTTCAAACGTTACGAAAAAGGCTTATTTCAGTATTCAGTGCAATATTATTTAAGATATACAGGAAAATAATTTAAATAGGATTGAATAGTTTAGTATAAATTTACCTTTTAAAAAATAGAGAAAATTTCACATACAAATACTTTAATTTGTAATAAGAAAATATATAAAAAATTTATTATAAAAAAACCAGTCTATTGTCAATATGTTTTGTGATAAATTCGAAAAGAAAAGGAAAAATAAATTATTAAAATTTTAAGAAGGTTTGAAAGCAACTCGAGAAAAATAATACTATTGTATATAAAGAAGAGTAAAACTAGAACATGTACAGAGTGCATAAGAATTTAATATTAAAGAGAATATTTTTTAAAAATCAAATAAAATATTTCCCTTTACGTTAAAGTAACCTAAAGGCACGTATTATTTATTATCTTTTATTATACATAACAGTAACCTAAGGAAATGAATCCGAAAAATTCCTGTCATAACTTTTAGTACAAGATCAAGGTACACAAAATGGAGTGTAACAAAGAAAATTTATTTTTAACATGACGTACTTGTAAGTCTTGTCGTGGCAACAACGATAAACTATGTGGTCACGCCCGTTTTACTTGCTTTACAGTCACTGGCTGTATAAGAACATGTCTATTGTAAGAACATGACAGTTGTTTTGCTTACGTTGATTTAAAAGTGTAATAATTTTACAAGAAAATACAAAACGTGCAGTTAAAAAAATAAAAAATAAGATTAATATATTTCTAAGAAAGTATATGCTCTATCTAGCTATTGTTGCCGAATATTTTTTATGTTTTAAGATATATTTTCTAACCAATTTTTCTAATAAAATTTTCATTATTTTCTTATCGAAAAAAGAGTTTAAAAACAAATTAAATAAGTTTCATTTTAATTAATATTTGTATTATTTTTTCCACATTAAATTACTTTTGTTTTATTGCGTTTTTGTTTAATATAGAAATAATAAACACGATATAATAAATGAGAAGTAAAGTAAAGCACAAAGCATAAATGAATATATAAATAAAAATAAAATAAGGAAGAAAAAGCAAAAAATGCAAAAGAAAACATTGCATAACAATAAAAGAAAAAAATCCAATATCTATCAAGAAGCCTACAAAAATCTCTAACACTAAAAAACACAATATGAACACAAATCAAATCAAATAAAAATAATATAAACAGAAAGCAAAACATGTAATAAAAAAAGTATAATAATTACAATTAAAAAAAACAAATAAAAACAAATCAGAATAAATTAAAAGTTTGTTATTGAATATAATCATTTACAGCACATATTTCTTGCAATTAAAATATACACAATTATTACTATGATAATTGTTCTCTTATTATCTCATGCGCGATAGATCTAATTACCATCATATCCGGTTTCGGCTACTGCATTCGTATAATAACCACTGTGTAATATTCTCTATGGCAATTACTATCGTGTACAACAGTTACTATGGCAATTACTCTCATGTACAACAGTTACTATAGCGTTTACTCTCGTGTATAACAATATTTCTTAAATTACTATAATATATACTTTAATATATTTTCTTCGTAATTAATTGAATTAAGAGTAAATCGTAACAAATTAATAAGTATTTTTTCTCTCTCTTTTTTTTTTAAATTAGGATTTTGATAAAAGGTAAGCACAAAACTATTTTTAGTAACGTAAATATTTATCTCTAATTAAAGTCGTATTTTAATTAAGAATGTAAAGGATAATTAATTTATGAAGCAATAATAAATAGCACGTAGTTGGTTTATACTTATTAAATAATTAAAAGGTGCATTAGATAATTAAAAAGAATAAGTATATTTACCTATTTCGTTAATTCTGAAGACACAAGGGTACTTCTGTACTCCAACGCTGTTTCTACCCCAGCAAAGCAATTCTCCAAAGTCCAATGACGTTCTAGGAATATAAGTTATCATCGTCATTGTCCCATTAGCAAATAATGTTTGAACATCAATGTCATCCACAGTGTTGTTGAGAGTCCAATGAAACGTGGAATCTGTTGGATCAGCTTCGACCTCGCATGTGACATTAGTTGGCTCGTCTTTGGTTATTTCAATGATTGCAACGTACTGTTGTTTGCACACGGGAGCATCTGTCGGAAATAGCATCAGCTATTTACTGTTACATTATTAATACAAGTTGCTGGAAGGTAGAAGAGAAAGCTAATACAGTAGCTTTTCTACCCAGGAGCTTCTCTTCTTATCACTCCCAACAGAATATAATAAAAGTTTCATATTTTATATATACATAAGGGAATTTTATATCGAAGAATATAATTATATATATACAGTATATAACGTATTTTTTAATATAATAATGGTTGATATTAAAGATTTAAATATATAAACATAGAGTATAATTATTGTAAAAGCGAGAATTGTAACCAATAAAAGGAAATGGTTTGCAGTTAATAAATGAATGTCGGGGTGAATAAAGCACAACTCTGGTTTAAGATAGAAAGTGGAGTACTTAATGGTTGTGCAGAAATTCACTTGCTGTTGGAAAATTACTACTCCAATACACTTAGGTAACCAGCTGTCGACTTCTCAGCGCTTTCAATGTTAGAGTTTGCAATGCTGGAACTTATTTCCGACATCCTTTCTTTAATATTTAAATTTTAACTCTTAAAGGAAAAGTATTGGAAATTAAGCATATCTGTAACTTATTTTTCAACTCGTGATCTCCGTTATTAAATACTTTTCATCTGGAATTTTGACGTTTCTTACATATTTTAACTTTTCTACTTCGATAATTTACAATGCAAACTTTCTTTTCTGTCGATAGTTTTCAAGAAAAAAAAAAAACAAAATAAATTTAAAATTTAACGATTTTCAAATGGACAAAAAAATCTAAAAATTATAATTATTTTCTTGTATACGTTTAAAATTTATTTTAAAATTAATATCTTTAAAGTTAACTTTTACATATAAGGTAAAACAAGAGAACTTTGTGTAATGTTATAAAAACAAAGCAAAGAGCGACAGTGAATGATTAACAATATGTTAAATTAATTTATATATATTTTTTTAAAATTAATGCATATTAGATAATTTTAAAGTTAAATATAATATTTTATACACAAAAATTACGACAAGGATAAACATTCTAAAAATGTTTAAGCACTTGGAAGCATCGTTGATTACGCTAATGATGCAACAGCATAGATTTATTATACAAGTAAACAAAAAAGAAATCTTAATTAAATATCTTCCATACAAATAAGATAAAAAATGATGGTACAATTAATGTTAATTTAATATAATCGATAGATTTACTTGAATAAAACTAAAGATCATAAATGCCTTTGTAATTTTTCATTAATTTAATCCTAATTAATTTGCGTGGAAAAATACGTTTCAAACAATCTTTTAACAATATCAACACTTATTCTTCTTCCATTAATTAAATTGTCTTTATTCTGTTCTTTATTTATAACATCAAAAGTCTCATAAATAATACTTCATTGTTTACAGCGAAAGAATAAAAATTACAAAAAAATAATAATAATAAAATAATAATAATAAAGAATTTTTCAAGATATTTCCAATGTTATATGAAAAAAAAAATTAAAAAATTGGTGGCAAAAATTATATAAAAAGTTAATGTTTACCATTATACTTTTTTCATTATTAAAGATTGTTGTATACTTTCACCTGTGTAAAGATAAGAGCAATTTCTTTTCAGAAAGATACAAGGATAAAAGCAAATTTCCTTGATATAAAAATTTTAAAAAATGAATACTTTTATGTACTTATATAAAAAAATCAAGTAAATGAGTTAATGTTGCGATGTTATTTGATAATTTAACAGATTGTTTTACACGAAATTTTAATGTAGTTAAGGAATATCGTGTTTATGTACAGCACTAAAAGTAGCAATAACTAGAAGATTAGAAAATGTTATACATGCCAGATAGGTTATGTAAATGAATAGAAATAAAATAAAAGAACTTAATAATTATTTGAATAATTTATCAGTACAATAAAATTAAGTCATTACGCGATTAGTTTACTAAACTGTCAACTCTGTTAAAGAATTTATTCAGAAACTTAATTAGTGGATTGTTCAGATTATCTAATTCTTAATTTTTAAGAGATAACGTCTACAATGAGATTTTTGATATGGATTCTAACACAGAATGCTTTAATATCGATTATTTTACTTTAAAAGATTTAAAAGATTTCAACTTTCTAACTTGTCAGATGTATTATATAAGATTATCGTTACATTTACAAATGATATTGTTAGATTTTTATATCAAAGAAGATAGAGATTAAGCAAGGAAAGATAAAGGCAATTAAGAAAGTTTTCTAATACTTTAAAGATTTAATGCCCGATATTCGTATGAAAGAAAAGATAAATGCGTTTATATATTCATATTTAGCTTACTTATTTGTTTATTGAGTTGTTAAAAATCTCTTAAATAAGTTAATTTAATAACACAGATGTAATGAGTCATTTCGAATTGAGAATGTAAAACAGGAATAACGAATACAAAATATAAAACGTGATGTAAAATAAACATTATCTGTAAAATAAACAATAACGAAGATTAAATCAATTTTTGCATGGAAAGAAGTAAAAAATGGTTGAAGAAATATAAACAGATTAAAAATAACTGATAAGATAAAAAGAATATTTTTTAAAAAAATAAATAAAATAAACACGNGTTATTTTAAAATACAATCATGTGGGTTGTAAATTTATAAAATATATATATATAAATATAAGGGAGAGATATGATTTTGATTGATATAAAAAAGTAAAGAAACAGAATGTTTATGACAGTGTTTTCTTTTCCTTAAGGAAACTTTCTGTAGAAGAAATTAAGGAATGCAACCTTAGGGTATACTTGGAGTGAAAACAGTAATAACCTATTTTAAGTGACAGCATCGTTTTTTTTTGAAAACGAGATTGTCGCAACCTTTTAAAATCTAGAGCTTTAAGGTCAATAATATTACAATTCATCCTCCAGCAATAATGACATTCTTTCTGTGATTTTAATACGGTTATAGGCTTTATACCATTTCTAGTTTGGAATTTAACTCGACTTGTAAGAAATTCAGTGGTGACATTACACAAATTCTTTCCAATAGCAATATTCTCAAGATGATTAGAATTACATTGACGATACGAATTTAGACATAAATGAATAATAATATTTGATTTTGGTAGAATTTTATCAAGAAGTGTTTACGTTTAAATATATTCCTTTTATGTGTCTCTTAAAATTAATTAAATAATTAATAATATTAATTATATTACTAACAAGTTATTAGTATATTAGTTTATGCATTAATTAATTATACTAGTTATTACATCAAAGCGTGGCCGCACACACCGTTAGAAGAATATTCGTACCTACGCTACTTATTTATATATTACGACCGGAATAGACAAAGTAATTCCGATCAAAATCAATATTCGTGTTAAGATCATAAGAGACTTACAATTTGTCAATTCTTGTAGAAATAACTTGGATGATCGAACCATTATTGAATTTTTAAGACGTTGGGTTTTGAGATGGTATCTCTTATAAATAATCCATTTAAAATCAATATCATCCTTTATAAAAAATTGTATTGATCAACTTTAAATACATAAATGGAACCAATATTTATCTGTTACAAAAGCTTCTTATCAAGAAATTTTTGTAAAAATAATTTTTTTTTTATTTTCCTCTTTTCGAAATAAACCAGAAGAGAAAGTATCTCATGGGAAGCTTCTTACTAATGCATGAAATACTATCTGATCTTTACATAACAAGATTACTGCATACAACATACTTTTCTTCTCTTTCTTATTGGGGAGTTTCATTGTAAATTGCTATATAACGTTTTCAAATAGTTTTTGACAGTAAAGGAGAAAAGCATGAGGTAAACTGTTGTGTCTTGAGACTCGCAAAACCATATCAAATTTGCCTAATGCAAGTAACCGTTCGACATACTTATAGTAATCCGCGTAAAATATTTTTATTAATTAATAATTGAAGTATTATTATTGGGCCGCAATTTGAAAAAATTGTAGATCTATAAAAACTGTCGTCCGTCTGTCCGTCTTTCCTTAATCTCGAGAAAGGAGTTAGATAAATAAAAGTTGAGACCATATATGGAAAGACTAGGGATGATAAGAAATCCCAATATAGGAAGTCATGTTATTTCAATTCAAAAATTTTCCCTGAAAGAGTTAGATAAATAACCGGCATGATTCAATTGCTAACAGGAAAAGTATGATGTACAGGGGCAAGACAATATTAATTTGAGGTGACGAGCATATATTTTAAAATAAATAAATTAAAAATTTGATTAAAAATTGCAGCCCGGCATTGTGACGATGTCATAATAAATAATTGCTCGTGTAAATATACGAACAGTTATTCTATTTTAAGAAATACATAAAATACAGCATTATAATATGCAAGGATAGATTTACAGAGACTTGGTTTATACAGATATTTTTTCAATTCTATCTTAAAGGTAACATATGTTTAGGCATAGTTGATTTACGTTATATTAACTATAACTGAAATGGGTTACAGTTTATAACTGAACAGTATATGATGTAGTTTGTATGTTGACGTTCTGCATAATATAGTTAGTTTCTGTAAACTAAGCAGATGTTATGAGCTATAGTGTTTAAGTATAGTGTCTAATATACATTTAATTTATCGTCTAGTTTGCAGAAACTTAATTTTAGTCTTAAATAAGATCAATTATATTTTAAAGAAATTATCGTTTATAAATAAATCGTGTATTTATCAATTATAAAAAGTATTGATACGCTGTTTTTTAATTTTTATTATTAAGATAAAAATAAAATAAGAGGATGAAGAAAATAAAATTAATTATAAACGAATACAAATCTGAGAGCTACGGTGAATAAAAACATTAGCAAAAAATTTACAATAACATTATAAAATATAAAAACGTTTAAAAATTAAAAAGGAGAGAATGAAAATAAATCGCTTCATTCATTTTATCTTTAAAATTTTATAAAAATAAATAAATAAATAAATTATCCTATAAAACAAGGTTGATAATCGCTAGAACTCTTCCAAATTTACGTATCGTTAAATTTTAAATATCCATCATGCTATTTTCGTATTAAATTATCAAAATTGGAAATTATGACATGCAACTTCAGTGTTAGCATAATTTATGAAGTCGTGTGATTACTAGCAATAAATTGCCGAATCTGACGTAGATAAAGTATACGAAGAGAGAGTTAAACCAACAAAAATAAGAATTAAAAAAAAACTATACTCAATTTTGTTGCTGAGGAATCAGGTGCTGCATAAATATTACATTGACCATGCACACGATAAAATCTTTAAGAGTCATTTACGCAGAACCGTGGTTAGTCAGAACTATAAATAATAATAACTAACGTCATAGAACATGCGAATGCTTTAGTGTGACGATCAATCAGTGTTATTAATCCATATGTTCGTTTAAGAAGTTAATGTTTGTAAAATTAAAGAGAAAACAAAATGATTTTGTGAATATGTCATAGTAGATGAATGTTATTGTAGATATCTAGTTGACAGAATCCTATATGATACCCAATAGTACCCAGGTCGATCGTTTTCTATCATTCGATGGGGCAACTACTAAAAAGTTTCAGATAGAAAGAATATTACAACCTATCATAAAGCAGGTAGTATTATACTCGAGAGAATTTACTGAACGCATTCTCTCTTGCATTATTACAGGAAAAAAAGACAGTTTGATGTAAAAGTTCAATTCTTAGAAAATCAAAATATTTTTTAAAATGTTATAAAATTTAATTGAGAATAAACCTTAAAAAGTTTAAGTCTTTAAATGTTAATATATAACATTTAAAAATATATTTTAAAAAATGTTTTAATTAGAAGTTGAAATTTTCAAAAATTACCTGTTTTTATATCTATGTTATAATGTTTTCAATTTATTTTTTAACTTGAATTTTAAAGTAAATAATAACGTGTAAATTAAGTTTACATATAAAAACTTTTTAAAATTTAATTTGATTTTATTTAAATTTGTAAAGTTTTTTTTTTTGCATTTTTTTAAAATTTAAAATACAACCACTTGATAATAATTAGTATAATTATTATTTAGCGTTAAATTTATTAAAACTTGATCTAAATAACTTTCATTTGTTATTATTTTATTTGATTTAAATAAAACAGAAATTTTTTTACAAAAATTTACGAATGCGAAAGAATTTTTTAATTATTTTCATCTTTCCAAAAAGAGAACAATAATTATAAAAATAAATTAACTTAGAAATCAACTACAAATTGTGAATTTTATTTTACATTTTCTTCCTTATTTTTTTTTCTTTTTTTCTATCGAATTAAAAATTCTTTAGAAAATTTTATTTTATTTTTTCCAATTTATTAATATATATATATATAAATGAAATAGCTACGAATTATATTCATTAATGGAATTGTACTTCGCTAAGTTCCAATAAATTTTATATTTATTTAACATAGTAATATAAGGAAAAATAAGTTGGTATATTACTACATCTTTTATATATATGTACATTGATCGATTTTTGTCTACGAATGTTCTTTCTTAAACGAAAATCCATTAAAGAGTTGTCATGGCTGCTACATCTGGGGAACATCATCGTCTCGTTTTGCTCTACTCCTTCCCTTCGAGGCACTTCCAATTCTGTATATCGTATGAACATTGTTATTCAAAACTTTTTGCGTATCGTCTGTCTTTTACTTTGCTTGAAGTGCTTTGAACCGAGCTGAATGTTCTTACAATAACCTCTTCCCCCTCCAAAAAGTTTCCTCGTGAGAACTTAAATGCAGAGAAATGCCTTTTTTAAAGCTTTATACGTATATATTTCTATATATGAAAAGTTTTCTTGTTAGTAATACCGGTTATAACTTTATAGGTAATGTACTATAAAAAATATAACCGTAAAATTCGATCAAATCTGTACGCAGAATGATGCTATAACGTATGATGATAAGTAATCTAATTAAATTAAAATTTTCAAAGGAAAATAATATTTAAAAAGAAAAAAAAAACAGATAAAAATTAAATATAAAAAAAATTTTCATTTTTATAATGAAATTTAAACAACATTAACTAATAAACTTAAACGTGACATGTTATAAAATTAACTTCTACATTTATTAAATAAATAAAATTTAATAATTTTAAAGGAAACGTTTTTGAAGTTTACATTTATAAATATTTAAAAAATTTTGTTTTAAGGATTGAAAACCTCAAGAAAAATTAATAATGTGTATGTGTGATTATAATGGATACGATATAGTTTAATAATCATTCTAAACAGCTAAATTACTGCGGTATTCTATGAATAAGATATCACACAATTCATCAATATTATAATAATCATGCGAAAAGTATGGAAATCTATAAGCTTCAAGATCATAAACTTTATAATTATGATAAATTACTTAATGCTTTGTTTTAATCTGTGGAAATTATATTAATAATTTATATAGAATCTATAAACAAGAAACATAATAATATATTTTAATTTAGGATATTATATCGCTTTAAAATTAAAAATAATAAGAATTTATATTTATTTTAAATAAGAAATTGTTTTACTATTGATAAATAATAGTTTCCAAATTAAAATTTTTAATTTTATAAATTTGAAAATTGTCAGATTGTATTACAGACATCTTTATTATTTTTAATATATAAATTTTAAGTGTATAGACTTTTATTTTCTAGAAAAATAATGAAAATGTATCTTCAAAAAATGGGGGATATAAAAATGAAAAAAAAAGAAATAAACTTACGCTGAACATCCAACTTCAGTTCGTTTTCAAGAGTGCTATTGGGAAGAGTAGGATGGTCAGCTCGACAGAGGAGATATTTTCCGTTATCTTCGGCAGATGGTACAAAAGTCACTTTGCTTCTAGTTCTGACGTCATCTTGCAAAATATCTTCTTCCAACGTCTGCACTTGTTTCCCGTCTTTCCAGAAACTAAGAGTTGCCGGAGGACGAGATCCAGTAGTTTCACATACAAGACTTCCTTCCTTACCAGCTGCCAACGGATTCACACCAGTAAAGTAAACGTCTAGAGGTTTAACTGAGTAGAAAAATGAAATATGCCCTTCAGCAAACGAAATTTAGATTAGGGAAAAAAACTTTAAAAAAAATATTAAAGAAATAAAAAAAAACTCGTTTTTAAAGTGTAAAATCTTTTAAAAATGAATGAATATTTAAAAGAGCCTCGAGATATATTCAAATACTTATACTGTAATAATAATAATAATA